GATCGCAGGCCGCGGCGGAGGCTAGCTGCAGAGGTTGGTGAAAGCACCGGGTTTCGTTTGCCTTTCCAGGGCCGTGCCTGCCAGGCTGGCTTGAACGACAGGAGTCGCCTCGACGAGGTCCAGGCCAGGAGCCGCTTAGCCGCTTAGCCGCCGAAGGTGAAGAGAGCGCGCGCGACGGAGCCCAGTTCGGAGGCCTGCCAGGGCGGCCTGGAGCTCCCATCCAGGCTCCGCTCTGGCAATCCAGGGAATGGCCCTTCAGGCAGGGCCCCAACCGATGGTGGGTGTATCGGGCTTGAAATCGAGCATCGCCTCGAGGCAAGCAAACGGAGGCGATCGCAGGCCCTGACCCATATCTTCAAGGGCGATCTCATGTTGACAGCTTCAGCTCAGGGCCCTTCCAGAATCTCGCAAGCCTGTGGTTGACGTGATCATCCCTGCCTATCAGTGGCTTGGCCTCGATTCCCGCTGACCTGAAGCTACAATACCTTCGCAACTCGCAAGGCTTTCGCCGCCACCTCCGCCAATGCTTGCGAAGCCCTTACGAGTTCCCTCGTGCAAGACGGCCGACCACGTGTAGGCTTCCACCAGATTTCAGGAGCCATCAAGACCTATCGGCCTTTACCAGCCATCCAAGGCAGGCCGCGTTGCCCAATGCCCATGCAAGCAGACTGTGGCTTCTGTCATGAGCAGAGGCTGTGGCCTCTCCGAGATCCCTGCCAGAACCTCGGGGTGCTTTCTTTTTGGAAAGAGTAGCAAATTAATCCCCGAAAGTTTCGAAAGAAGCCCCAAAGCCGATTTGTTGAAACACATCTCACCTATCCCGAGACGGGGCCAACGACGGCATGACTGATAGGGCCCATATGGTCTTTGCCGCTTCCACAATCAAGGATCCATGACATCCTGCATCTTTTCTAGTACTTTTCTGCTCAGCGTCTTGAGCCACAGATGTTGATGTGAATGTGGCCTTCAGGTTCTTCACAAGTATGCTTGTCGATCGTGTGTGTAGTGACTTTCAGCTTCAGTCGTAACAGCGACAAGAACAGATATTCAGCGGTGCTCTTTATCCCTCCTGGACACGACATGGTACCACGATCATGGGCACGAGTGGAATAGGGTATTTAACCTGCAACAGCCCTTAATATGTGATCTGCAGATCCTTGGGAAATGCTTTTCCTGGTCGGGCCCAAACACCAGCTTCCAGCAAGAATGATTGTCACCCCTCACCCCTCAAACAGGAACGTGCCATCCTCGCCACGTGCCCTCGCACGCGATCCCGCAGCTTGGTGCAGTGCTGGATCCTGTGTGGGCAAGCGGTCGTACGGGCGGACTACCGAGGGTGCTCCTCCCGGACGAGTTGAGAATCGAGGATGGCCGTGGTGGGACGAGGAGGCTCTCATTGAACCGAAGTCTTGCAGACCTGGTTAGGGCTGATTTGTGCTTTTGCCGTGTCAGGTGCCTGGGCGTCACCTATCACCTTCCAGAGGCGGATTCAGCATGTCATCCTGCGACTTCTGGAATTCGAGCGCAAGCGAGGGCGTTGGCTGCAGCAGGCACGGGGTCGCCCGAGCGGCAGCTTGCACCGCGGCTGCCCCTGCCACAGCGCTCTGCGCCGCCTCATTCCCCCTCCCCGTCGCACCGGGCGTTCCTGCTGGAGGCGCCTTTTGCTTTTGGGTGAACCCCCGCCCTCTTCGAAATCCGGGCAGGCGCAGAGCTCGGCCATTGGTGGGCTCAGAGAGAGTCCCTTGGGCCGGCCTCGCTCCAAGCGGCCTTGGGCGCTCATGGGGACTATCTTTTTCCGCCGCCACAAGAATGCGAACACGACCTCCCGAGTTCATTCGCCAAGGATGCCGCGCCCCGGGCCACCGGATCTTCGGCTGAGTCCATATTCGGAGCGCAGCCCTCGTTTGATATCGGACGGCTTCTACGAGGTGCTTGCCCAGGGCCTGCCCTAGACAGCCGCAAGAAGCGGCCTGCGAAGAAATCTGAATGTCAGGGCCCTCTGTGGGCTCCACAGCGCGGAGATGCCTGGGAGCTGCGAATGCTGCGAACCGCTCTTCAGGCAACGCTGGGTGGGGCCGGGCGGGCAGTAGATTTCGCCTTTTCGCAGTCGTTTTCTGGGCTTAGGCCATGGTCCGACAAGCGGCCTGCGACGCCGAGGCTGAGGATGCCAAGGCAGGGAGCCTCGGAGATCCTCGGAGATCCTCGGAGATCCTCGGAGCCTGGCGTCCTTCCTGACGAGGCGATGCTCGGTCCCGGCGCTGGGGCTTGCGGACCGGCGCTCAAGACTCCCTTGACCATGGCTCTTACGCTCGGTCTCAGGCCTCCCAGCCTTCTTCAGATGCCTCGATCCCCTGGACAAGGCGGGGTGGTCAGAAAGCCAGCTGCGGCCAGTCGCGAATTCTCTTGGCCCTCTTGCTTGACCACAGCTGCAGGGCCATGTTCTGGATACCGACCTCTTGGAGTTGGTGAAGGCACGGCAGGGCGCGGCACGCCGGCAGATCGTGCCCGTGGCCGTGGCGTTGTCTTTGCCAGGAGCACGAGGCGCCCGTCTCCTACGCCAGCCTCTGCTCTCTGGTCCACGAGGCAAATCTACGGCGCGGAGGCCCCAAAAGGGGCCTTGGCCTCGACATCGGCTCGACAGTTTCAGCTCCTTCGTCGTGGCAGGGCGTCCGCTTGGCTATCTCACGTTCCGGGACCTCGGAAAGCTGATCTATCCTCTGCAGTCCAAGGCTGCTCTTCTCCGTCTCTGGAAAATCCACAACTCTGCTGTGACTACGAGTAAGCTGCAGGAGCACAAGGCCATGTGCGATTCTGCCACCGACGACGAAGCCAAGTCGATCCTTTACCTGCTGCAGTTTTCAGAGCCATGCCCACGCTGCCCTCGGCCGAGAGGGCGATAGAAATTCTTCTTTCGGCACCAAGTTTCCACACGCTTCAGGTGGTTTCCGAATTCAGAGAGACTCGGAGTCGTCGGCGTGCCCGAACGTGGTTTGCAGCAACTGCGGAGCCGCTTTCAGGCGGGAACCTGCAACGCACGGCGACGCTGTCCATCCCTTTCTTCGCCCAAGTCATGCCAAGATAAACCGTCCAGATGGTAGGTGCTTCGTCGTGGCAAGGCAGCACGTGTCGCCGCCCTTGCTAGTGGCCGTGGCCTGTTTTGCCGTCAGGCCATTCCTGGACGCGCCCAAAGCAACCGCTGCAGATCGTTACACGCTCTGCAGACTGGTGGCGGCCGTGGCCCGCACGGCCAGGGCCTGACCTTTCCATCTCAGTTGC